TGTTCATTACTCTATATGCTTCTATAGAAGTACAATGTGACAGAGCAAAGCAGAGAGATGATCACCAATGACCAAAGTGACTACAACAACAGCAAAGACAGGAAATGTGGAAAGCCTAAATAAGTGGGTGGGCAACAGGAGGTACCTGAGAAATTAGTTTAAAAAGACATTTAATGCAGATATGTTGAGATAAGAAGAACAAATATGTTTAAATATCTGAGTACTTTTCACATTGTGAATTAAGTCAAAGGTTTCCATGCAGTGGCTCATTTTTCTTCTGCTAATTAAAACGTGCAGTAGATCTGATCAAACTCGTAGCTCTCTCCTTCATCACTCGTATGACTATCATTACAAGCTCCAATGTTTTGTCAGTGGTTATAATGCCACTGATGGGACTCCAAAGCCCCCTGCAGTAACAGACGGGTGATGTCACTCTGGCTTAGTCCATTCATTCTTACAGGCTGTGGTTGCACACCAGAGAAAAATTAGATACATTGAAAACCAACATTTTAAACATCTAATCCACATTCTATATTTGACCTAGCCTCCAGTGACTCCGGTGACTCCATCGGTCCACCCCATGTTGAGCCTGGTGTATCTTGGATGATGGTGTTCAGTCCAGCCATCACGGTCCTCTCCACCTTCCTGTGCCTGACTTTTGTTTATCTCTGCAGTCAGAATGCAGGTAAATACACTACAATCACTTTTTACCTGTTAAGTATAGACATTTTGAATTGACTTAAATACAAATGAATCATATTGATTGTGATGGATCATTGAATGAATGAAGTCGTTGTCTAACAAGAAACCTTTTATTTATGATTCTACAGATGAAAAAGATCAAATGACTGAGAGAAGACCTGACATGGGAGAGGAAAGTACAGTGAATCAGGTAAGGACTTTCTTTGGTATTTTCATGGTCTCAGAACCATTAGACATCTTTGCAGCAGTAGAGACTCTGTACTAATGACACTCATGTTACTGTGTCTGATTACCTTTCAGGATGAAGACGCATGTTTCACCAGAGTTGTGTTCTTGTGTGTCGATGGACGGAACAAATAGATTGGCTTTGTATGAGCGGACATCACACAAGCTCCACTTCAAACTTCTCACAAAGTCTTTAGAGTCCGAGTTTAAAGACCTGTTATATTTGTACACAGTGATGATGCGTTTTGGGATGCGTAGTCAAAATGGTGTCAGAAAGTCAGCTAGTGGTGTTGAATTAACTGTTTGTTTGTTTGTTTTCTGGCTTCTTGCCTTCACTTGATAAGACGGTGTATAGAGTAGTAAACAGGAAAGAGAGAGGGGGGAATGACATGTGGTAATGGACCACAGGCCGGACCTGAACCACCCACCCAGAGGACCAGAGCTTCCAAACATTCGGGCAACCCAACCAGCAGGTCAGCTGTGGTCATGAATTAACAATTGGTTCTTCGGCAGATGTTCAGCAGAAGCAGCTTTTGAGGACCCTTGTTTACTATCACAATGACGTTAATCATCGTACTACGACGCTCGATGGCCGATTAGGATCCAATTTGTCAATGTCTTCAGAGACATAAACATCAACAAAACAGATATTTTCAACAAGTAAACAAGTAAACAAGTATCGTTATTATAGCAAAGATTACTTTGACACGACTAAAAGTGACAGCAAGAGACCGCTGCCAGGCTTAGAACTGTGCAACCCAATACATGGCCTTCCTGGGCACCACAGTGCTGCACTTTCAGGAGGAAGACTCAGATTTCATTTTAACTAGTTCACCACAATGAATTAATTTTTTTAACATTAATCCCGTTTTAGTTTGCATACTGTTTCCAATTTATTCATCATGTGTAACTATGTTGTAACCATTACTAATGTACATGTATTCTTCCTTTATGTTCACCATCTATTTGTAATAAAGATTCACATTAAGCCAAGAACTTTGTTGGTTTGTTTCTGTTGAAAGGTCGAGCAGATCTAAGAAAGGCCGAACCCCAAGGGACCCACACAGAAAAAAAGTGATAGGCTAAGATTGATGTCAAAAATCAACAAAAATTAATTCCAATTTATTCAGTGAGAACCTTAAGTCGAGGTGTGGCTGACTAAGGCAGCCTGATGTTTTTCAGTGAGGAAACATGAATTTTTTACACAGTTTGGGTAAAATATGGTAAAATCTTCTGGAGGTTCAAAAGATTTGCAAATGTAGAAATACACCGCAAGAAAAGGTGGTCATTGTTGCTTTAAGTTAGGATGAACCCTGTTTGTGCAAGCCTCCATGGGTCCTTCCCATGCAATCTTTCCCCAGAAATATCTTAAATTGACTTGAGCTTGCATAGCACTTTTCTATTCTTCAGTCTACTCAAAGCACTTTTACACCGCAGACGAAGTAGCTGGAGCAACTTTGGCTTGAGTGTCTTGCTTAAGGACATATCAGACATGTTGCCCCAAGCTTTACTCTTTTTCCCCACCGTAGGGGCGGCCATAAATATTGAATCACACCATCAAATGCCAACATTTATATAGAGGAGAGGAAATATGCCTGAGCTGTGTATAAGGATACACATGTTCAGTTCAGGCTGCGTAGGTTTTATGTGCCATGAAACAAACATGTTTTAAATGTATAAGAACACAAAAATCCTACAAGTGGTTTTTCAGGCATTGTCTGAGAAGGCTAAAATGTGTTTTTTATGGTCGGAAAATCTGTTGAAGATGAGTTGGCAACTTAAGAAGCTCATGTGTGTCATTTTTTGGACAGCGACATATACTGCAGTCACAGTTTAAGTGTTGTTTGAACTCTTTCAACTTTCTTTAGCCTCCACTATGTACTGATATGATCTTACGATGGGGGATTTCTCACAAACAGCGACCCATAAATCTATTCTTCTTTCATAATTTGAAGTAGCTGCACTGAGGGTGAATGTGATGGACACTTACACCTTGCACACAACCATGATATCACTTCACCCACACTCTTACTTTTTCAGTTCCCCAACAAAATTGGAGTCATTCAACCAGACAGTTAAAACAGTTTGTTTTAGTGTAAAATTAAACAATAACTTCTGTTACTGTGCTAATCATTATTTCTCTGTCTTTCAGTAACATGACTAGTGGGTGGGGCAGGACTTCCTGCTTCCTGAAGGCTCCTCTTTAGACCAGACCAAATGCTCCGATGTCATGGGGGAAGGGGGGGGGGGGGTCGGTTTACTGAGTTCACACCTTAGCTTTTCTCATGTTCAGTAGAGTTATGTTCAGTTATAGTTTCACTTTTAAAGCTAAGAAATTTGGGGTTTGTACATTTTGTATTCATCTTTGAGTAAAATAAAAACTCCTGTTGTCTCTTGCCTAGCTTCTTGGTCCTTAACAGTCACATTAAATCAGTATAACTTTACATTTATCTTATAGAGAAACAAGCTGCTTGATCCTTTATAAACATGTTTGATCATAGCACTCTGCACTTTATTTTGATTGATTGAACTTGCTATTGAAATCCCAACATGTAATCATGTTATGTTTTAATGATGTATTTTAATTTGTTTTTTTTTATGGTTTTTGTTTTCATGTGCAGTCCTGTGTTATGGTTTTGATGCCCTTTGTCACTAACATTGTGTTTTTATGCCGAAGCAACATTACAAAAAAAGGCAACACGTCTTCTGATTGAATTGTTGCCCTGACGATGACCTGAAAGACCAAAATGTCTCGTGGTTACTCCCATGAAAAAAAAATTAAAAAAAATGTTCCACCAGGAGTTTACCTTTCAGGATGAAGACACATGTTTCACCAGAGTTGTGTTCTTGGTTGCAGATGGACGGAACAAATAGATTGGCTTTGTATGAGCGGACATCACACAAGCTCCACTTCAAACTTCTCACAAAGTCTTTAGCGTCCGAGTTTAAAGACCTGTTATATTTGTACACAGTGATGATGCGTTTTGTGGGCGGAGTCAAAATGGTGTCAGAAAGTCAGATAGTGGTGTTGAATTAACTGTTTGTTTGTTTGTTTTCTGGCTTCTTGCCTTCACTTGATAAGACGGTGTATAGAGTAGTAAACAGGAAAGAGAGAGGGGGGAATAACGTGGTAATGGAACCCAGACCCGTCCACCCAGAGGACCAGAGCTTTCTCACATTCGGGGCAACCCAACCACCAGGCCAACTGTGCTCATGAATTAACAATTAGTTCTTCGGCAGATGTTCAGCAGAAGCAGCTTTTGAAGACCCTTGTTTACTATCACAATGACGTTAATCATCCTACTACGACGCTCGCTGGCCGATTATCATCCAATTTGTCAATGTCTTCAGACACATTCACGTTGTTAGGGAAGAGTTTGTGGAGTCACAGAGTACATTTAAAGAAATGAATATTATTTTCACCATCTATTTGTAATAAATATTCAAATTAATCAAAGTACGTTGTTGGTGTATCTCTGTTAAAAGGTCAAGCAGATCTAAGAAAGGTTGAGCCCAACAGGAGCCACAAAAAAGTGATAAGATTGATGACAAAATTCAACAGAAATTCTAATTGATTCCATGAGAACCTTTATTCAAGGTTGTCATTTTTTACACAGTTTGGGTAAAATGTGGTCAAATCTAAGTTGGGCAACCTCAGAGCAGAAAGAGCCTTGCCTTCCACACGATACTGAGGCTCCTGTTTGTTAAATCAATAAATTGTTAAATTGCCAATGTGTCTTGTTTCTTCAGATTTTAATCATCCAATCCAATAAACGAATAAGCTGTTTTTCATGTTTTTTCAAGTTTTTGAATTTTCATACTCAGCTCTGCTACTCATCCCACATTGCATGTTCCTTACAAATGTGGCACCATTTAAAAGGGAAATAAACAGTCTTTCCAAAGTTACAAGATTTATTGCCAAGAAGCATTGTTACAACAAAGAAATAAATCTACCAAACACAAATGTCCTTACTTTTTGTTCGATGTTTATGTCAACATTACAAAATTATTTTTTTGTTCCTCTGGTCTTAGGCCTGTTACATCCTAGATGTATTAAGAGCAGAATAGGTGCAGAGTCAGAAGTCTGCGGTTCCTTCTTCTTCTTTGGTCTCTTTGATTTCTGACGGATTTCCACAGCAGCATAGCACACATCGTCATCCTAAGATTGGATATTTGTCATTTAGAAGCCCAACCTTGAACATATTTAATGCTTTGATACATTACACTTTAATGATAGATACCTGGCTCTGTCTTGGATGACCTCTAGTGTCAGGTCTTTGCTGATCAACAGGATGTTCTTCAGCTGCAGGAATAAATATAACATCAGTACAGCACAATGAAACTCACACAGTGGAAGAGACATTAAGGTGTCTTTGTGATTAAAACACTTAAGTGGATACATATTCTAGAAAAAGTGAGGTAGTTACCCTTCTTACAGCAGTGATAGACCACAAGTGAGGAGAGGAGAGAGGAGACAATAGATACAACTGGACACAGACAGAAGATCAGAATCCAGCAGTCCTGTGGCATCTTGGGGGAGGAGTCTCATTCGGTTCTGTATCTAAATGAAAGTTGTGTTGATTACGTTCTTTAACTCTGATCTACAGAAAAATCCTAAAAAGTTGTAGAAAGTTGTAGAAACTTCAAAACATTGAAATCTCATATTTGAATGAAAATAGCACAAAGACAACGTAAATTGATGAAACTGGATATTTTATTGTTTTTGGAAAAAAATAATGCTAAGGCAGCTTAGTAAATTTATAGGGACATATCAGACAAAAGCACCAATTTTTTTCCACATAGTCTCCATCACCATAGCTTTCGAATTTTTTATTTTTTTTGGGGGGGGGCACTTCATCAAGTTGGCGGTTCTAAGATGGCGGCCATGTAAAGTCTGTTAGTGCCAATATGTCTTCCAAGCCACTTAGAAAGTCAATCTTGGTGTCAATATATTTTCTGAGTAGAGGAATGCATTAAAATATGGAAATAATTTGGTGCTTTTGTCCGACGTGTCCCCATTCGTTCCAAATCTGGTCCGAAGCTGCCTGACTAAAAGTCTGAAAAATGGTAAAAAACAAACAAACAAACATCCATAACTGAATCAGAATTCAAATGATGAATTAGAATAATATGTTATGCCCGCCACCTATCGTAGTGCGTGTTCTGCCCGCTCGCCTCATGGACTGTAAATGTTACGTTCACCTGCCTGGGAGCTGGAGTCTGACGTCACTTTCCTGCACCGTCCACTTTGCCGTTTCATTTTCGAGTTGGTTTGAATTATGATCACTTTTTAGCACGGCAAGTTTGAAAGAGAGAGCAAAGGTATAATGCAAACTGGATGACTGAATATTCATTTTAAATATAGGTCAAATAATGCACTTATAATCTGAAAATTCAAACGTGTTTCTTTACTGTATTTTCATTTTAAAATTTGCTTTTTCATTTGAATTATGATACAAATTTAGCGGGGCATAGTTTGAAAATGATAAAGAAATGTAATTTTCTTCATCATTTTAATTTAGTCAAAGAATGTGCATTTTTGAAGTTGAAAACTAAAATTCAAATTAGATAAATTAATCATCATTTTATTATTGAGTCAAATAATACACTCATATTCTGAAAATTCAAACGCATTTCTGTTAATGCATTTGAATTTTCAAATTAGCTTTATCATTTCAATTTTGATCACTAATCGCTTCCATACTAGTAGGCCTGCATTCTGGGACCATAGTGTTGTCGAGGGCAGTACGGCACTAGTAGCTCCTTAAGATAAGATGGTGATTGGTCATTTAGAGCTTTGTAAGTGAGAAGAAGGATCTTGAACTCTATTCTAGATTGTATAGGGAGCCAGTGCAGAGAAGCCAACACAGGAGTAATGTGGTCCCTTTTCCTAGTTCTAGTCAGTACACGAGCTGCAGCGTTCTGGACTAGTTGAAGAGTCTTTAGAGACTTACCAGAGCACCCTGACAAAAGAGAATTACAATAATCCAACCTGGAGGTAACAAATGCATGAACTAGTTTTTCTGCATTATTTTGAGACAGGATCTGCCTGATCTTAGATAAGTCCAGGCCAGAGAACCTGAAAGGGTATGTTCTTTGGCTGCTAGGTCCGTCCGAGCCGACTCTAGTTTTGCTAAGAGTCATTGAGCGAGAGAAGAGGGCCGTGGTAGGGTAGTCCGAAAATATCAGAAAATATTTTATTATTATTAAATAAATAATTACTATAAGTGTGATTGATCTAATTATAAACACACTAGTGTACAGATTGAACTACTGTTGATGTAGCACGTAGCAGCCACGTTCAGTTTGTATGCTCCCTAAATCTGGAACAAACTCCCAGAAAACTGCAGGTCTGCTGAAACTCTCAGCTCTTTTAAATCGAGGTTGAAGACACACCTGTTTACAGCTGCCTTTCAATAAACAATTTGAATGAGATTTGAAATCTTAACTCTGCAATGTAACTTTTAACTCTTTTTATATTTTTACTTTATTTATTTCAATTAATTTCATTTGAATTATTTTTATTTGAACATATTTTCAGATTTTATAATTTCAGTCATTTTTAAATTTCCTATTTTAATGTTTCTTTTCTTTCCTCTGTCATGATGCTTTTGGTGTTTTGTGTGAAGCACTTTTAATTGTTTTGAAATGCTCTATAAATAAACTTGCCTTGCCCTGTAAGAAAGAGTCTCAGTGCTAAACTGGCACTTCCTGCAGTCCTGATTTGTCACCCATTAAAAGTGTTTTTGAGCATTATGAAAGGTGTAAAAGGAGTCCTTGAACTGTTGAACATTTTAAATCCTACATTAAGCAAGAATGGTAAAACATTACCCTCTTAAAGTTACAGAAACTGGTCTCCTGTGTTGTTTAAAGAAAAGTGTGATAACAACAGAGCGGTACACATGACCCTGTCCCAACTTTGAAAAGTGTTGCTGGCATTAAATTCAAATAGGTGTATCATTTTCTGTAAACATTTTATGTTTTCTTGTGATTATTATTTTTTTAAATCAGGGTTTCAATATTTTTAAATTCATCACAATCAGTTTTGTTTACTTTTGACAACTTTCTGACCAAAAAACAACATCTTGAGAAAGTCAATGTTCTTAATTAAGGAAAAATAAAAAAATTTGTAGTATTTAACTGTGCAGACAGGTTGAGTCTTTCTGAATGTATGTATATATATATATATATATATATATATATATATGTGTGTGTGTGTGTGTGTGTGTGCGTTCACACCTCTTTTTTTTTCACTTCTCAAATACCTCCTGATCGTCCATTTATTTCAGCTATATTAATTACATTTCAGTTAATAGTATTTCGGCCACTTGTCTTTCGAGTTAGTTGTAGTCATATTGGTCATTGATGATCTGATGACCATCATCCTGTACAACACTTTCTTTGCAAATTAATCATTCATTTTACAAAAGTATGAATGTGTTGTCTGATGATCTTAGCGGATGATGTTTTTGGTCTGACATCATTAATTCAGTGAATGATTTATTTGTAATATTCAAATTATTGAATCCACTGAAATCACAGTCACACAAAGATAGAGCGTACTTACTGAATATGATTCTTGTTGTGATGTTGCTGTAGCTGTAGTAAATATCTCTAGAAGTTATGTGTTCCTTTCCTCCACTTTTGGTTCTTCAGTTCCACAGTAGTAAAGACCTTCATCTGACTCAGTGATGTTCAGAATCAGCAGGTCGTAGGAGTCAGAGGACTGGTTCTTCAATAAGTGGAAATTAGGAGGAAGACTTTCTGTCCAGGAGCCCGTGTTACGTTTCAGAACGAGTGAAGGCTGGTTCTCATGAGAACAGTTCCTGTACCACATGATGTAAACTCCAGTTGATCTTTTGCAGTCACAGTAGAGAGTGATGTTGTCTCCTGGTCTGACTGTCACCTTCAATTCTGATCCACAAACACAGTCTGGACTCACTGCTGGAATTCAAACAAGATCATAACAGCAGTTTAAAATGTGCACAGCTATACAGGAAGACAAAATGACAAGGGCACTAGAACGTTAGTATTCTTCTTTTAATGTAAAAACATCCTTGTATTAAATCATCCAAACTGTTAATCAAAAGAATTACCTGAGACCAGGAGCAGAACAACGTGACGGCCCTCCATGAGTGACGAGGTCTGAGATGTGAAGACAGAGACACAGGTCTCACTGACATCACACCCATGTAGATGTTTCCATTAAAGGAAGCAGACGCTGTGATTGGCCAGTGAGGTGAAACTTTTTTTTTTTGCAGATTCCACCCAATGTGACATTTTGGACTTTGATGTCTTATTCTCTCATTGTGTCTTTACCTAACATCCTCAATTAACTTTTAATGCTTTTATTTATTTTCATTTAATTGCTCTTATTACGTCTTTAGTTCTTGCACGGATTACAAGACTCCATGGACGGTCAGAAGACGTTCAGAATAACTTAGAAGCAACTTCTAATGAGACAAGTGTTGTTTAAGATGATGTTACATTAGCAGATGTGTTTTCTTGATTAAAGTGCGACCATGTCTGGTTTTGAATGTTGGTTTAGGCAGGAACCTGTTCTCCCCTCTTTCCAGTACTGCGTACTGCCACTACATGTTTTAAATTTAGACATGAGAATGCAGACGAAAACCCCACTGAACATGTGCTACACTCTGCTTCATAAGTGCAACCAGAGCTGACCTCATTTGATCTCACAAAGGTGGGACGTGGTCACCCATATGACATAGATTCAGATATATTGATTGACTGATAGAACGTTATTGTCAGAGAGAACTCTCAATAATGTTTTGCATATTTCAGCCTCTCCATTTGGAATATAAAAATTAAAGACAAGATACAAATATGCAAACATTTGACCCAACATTCAAACACCAAACAAGTATTCAGAAGCCTTTAATGTGCTTTGATCTGAGATTATTCTCCATATTTCATTTTAGGATTGACTGTGTAGGAAAGAGTCACCGTTCATTCCTTAAAACTGACTGGTGCACTCCTGCATGTGTAACAGAGTTAGAATCTACCTCTATGTTGAATTTTTACAAACAGATAAGGCTGTCGCTACATGGTGGTTTAATAGAGCAACTGTGAGCTGTATTGGTCGGGCCACTAGCTGTTCACACGTAGCTCAGCAATGGAAAACTCTCCCCAGCTGAAGATGTGAGTCCTTTGAATTTGCATGAAACAGTACTGATTACTGTGTTCTGTTGATTTAAACACCAGAAAAAAAAGTGAACCAGAGTGAGAGCAACTCCTGTGTAGTTGCTTGTCTAGAAGTATCTTTGGAGTCTGCAGAGCAGTTGAATATCCACTGAGGTTTTGCTTGACTTTAGACACCACACGCTTCAAAGGGGGTTGAGCAGACTTGTTTTCTTCAGCAGAGTGTGTGAAGTTGCATGAGGGTCTGTTCGTCACTTTCGGTTAACTGTGAATCTATCTGATCGTTCTTGGAATCGTGCGGTGGAGTGTATACAGTCAGATGGATAACTTGAGATAAAAACAAGAAATTGCCTGAAA